TTTATGTAATTTTGGATACACCTTGTGTAAGAGCTGTCCTCATCTTAAAAATAATGAAGTACATCAGTATGTGTCTAAATGAATAGTGGTGGGTAAAACCAACATAGTTAATAAGTGCCAGATTTAGCTCTCTCTTCCACCAAACCTTTTAAGCAAGTAAACCTTTTAAGTTAGTATCACTGCCTTTGTGGAGCTTTACAAATAAAAGCTGAGGAAGAAAAACTGAATACTTTGAATTGCTAAACAGCCAATTAAAGAAAGTATTGCTTACAACAATACTGATGAAGCATTGAGCCTAAATGAGATGTGAAGACTAAGACTAGGAAAAGATTCTTGAGCACTTGTCTTGATCTTGACCAGATCTTTAAATTCTTACTTTTTACAGACTAAGCTTTCAGTTAGCCCTTTGCCTGAATAAAGATTAAGGACAGCAGTAGTTTGGTGTGATCTTAGCTGTGGATTTGTTGCTCTGCCCCCCTTGCATTTCTCCTCTTCTAGGAAAAGTTCACTGTAAATGACAAGTAGGGTGATATTACTTAATGACATTATACCTGCCTAATTAATAAATTATTTTGTTAATATTTCAAGTGGTAAATAGACAGCATTGTACAATCACAGAATCATAAGTTGGAATGAGCCACTGTCATTCCTCATCTAACTTCCTGTTCAAAGCAGCTTCAACTTAATCAAGTTGCTCAGGGCTGTGACCAGTTGAATTTTAAGCACCTCCAATTGTAGAGATTCAGCAACCTTCCTGGAGAGCCATTTTCAATATTTGATCACCCTCATGATGAAAAAGTTTTTTCTTGTAGTGAGTCAAAATTTCCCATGTTCCAGCTTGTGTCAATTTACTCTTATCCTTCCGCTGTGCACCTTTAAGAAGAGTCAGGCCCCATCTTTTCTATACCTTCCCATTAGGTAGTTAAAGAAAACTATGTGATCCCCCCTTTTCTGCCCTCTCTTAAGGCCAAAGCAAGCCCGTTCTCTCAGCATCTCCTCATGTGTCGTGTTCTTCAGCCCCCTAATAATCATGCTGACCCTCTAGGGGACTCATTCCAGTCTTTTCTCTCTGTGTACTGAAGAGGTCAAAACTGGGCAAAGTACTCCAAATGTGTGCTCTCAGGTGCTGAATAGAGGGAGAAAATCCCTTCCATTGACTTTCTGACTTCATTTTTGCTAGTATAGCTCAGTATGTGGTTGGTCTTTCTTGCTGCAAGGGTATACCACTGGTTTGCTGTCCACAGGTCTTTTTCTTGAAAGTTGCTTTCAGTCTTGTTGCCCCCAACCTGTACTGCTGCACTGGTTATTCCATTCCAGATGCAGGACTTCCCATTTGCTTTTGCTGGACTTCATGATGTTCCTTTTAAGCCTGTTCATTTGTCCAGCCTGTTCAGGTCCCTCTGAGGGTGATGTGCCCTCCAGAATATCGAATACACCTGCCCCAGAGCAGTTCCTTTCTGCCTGTGAACTTGCTGAGAGTGCACTCCATCCTGTCATCCAACTCACTGATAAAAACATTGAACAGTGTTGGCTTCAGTACCTTTGAGAGACACCACTAATAACTGGCCTCCGGTTGGACCTTGCATCACTGATCACAGCCCTTTAAGCCTGGCAGTCCGGCCAATTATCCACCGACCTCACAGTTCACTTACCCAGTTTGCTCACCAATTTGGCTGTAAGAATAAGGTGGGAAACTGCATGAAAGGCCTTGCTCAGTGAAAAATAAACAACATCCACTCTTCTCCCCCCATGGAGCATCTCAGCAAATGGGACATACGCACAAGTGCAAGACCAGATGGGATGCATCCAAGGACTGGCTCATCTCCTCTCAAAGCTCTGTGCATTTGAGTCACCACTCTGCATACAGCACAACCTTTCCTCCTCACCTTCCCAGCTGTTTTTTCCTAAAGAAAATGGAGAAAATGATGTACCAGACATGTTTAGGATTTATTTCCTTAGCCCTTATGAATGCTCCTATTGCTTGTTTTCATAGAAAGTAAGTTCAAAGTTATTATTTTTTACCTTCTCATTCAAATACTAGATCAAAATATTCCCTTATGCTCATTTAGGTCTCCTCCACAGGCCATGTGCTGTGGTCAAGTGTATTTTACACATTTATAGTAACAAATATCACGCTATTAACGCAGTCATCAGAATCTAATCTTTTATTTACATTCTGCTTTTTATCCTCTTGAAAATGTGAAACTATCCTAGTTATCTGTAGAGTTTCCATTTTCTGTTTCCTATTTAATAAAAGCATTGGCCAAGAAAGGAAGAAGTTATAAATTAAGTCTTTACATTGGTTGTATATCTTTATTTAAACAGGTAAACATTCTACAAGTGTTTTAAAAGCTTGTACTTCGTTCATATGCACTTACATATTTGAAATTTATATATATTGTGAAGAAAAACATTTAAAGATCTGTTGTGACGTCATAAATTTTAGGACTTTATGTGGCTGGTGTATTTAGAACAGGTTGTGCTGAAGATTTGCATTGCTTGTTTCATATACAGCTAGATACCATTTAAAAAAGATACTGTCTTCAAATAACTTTCTGAGTTAGGTTGATATCAGGTGACTTGTGGTAGAAAGTTTACGACCTCAAAACTGTTTTATTTTAGATGTAACACAAAGCTCCTCTGCATTCAGACTATATATGACTACGTAAGACTACTAGACTGCATTAGTAAATGTATTTAAAGGAAAACTTACTAATTGCGTTTTTACACTTGGCTGCTTTTCTTGGGCAAAGCCTTTTGTGTTTGCTAATGCTGTTTCCTTCTGTTCATCCTGTAATAGATTTTGACCGACCTAGTGATCATGAAGAAGCCTTTGCTAGAGATCTTGCAGAATTTCCTTCTTTAGAAAATGGTGCCGGAACAAATGATGACGATGACTCAAGCATCGGTATGCCCATCCAGCAAAAACGAAAAAAAGAACAAGCATATTTCAAGGTGGATCATGCTTCCAGACAGAGTAAAGAGAGACCGTCCACTGCAGGGCTCTCCTTGCCTTTGACCAGTGACCAAACCTTTAATTTAATGAGTGGAATTGCTGGGGATGTCATCGCAGCTGCGGTGTCTGCTGCCATCAAAGACCAGTTGCAGTCCGCACAGCAAGCTCCCTCACATGCAGTGCCCAGTTTGAGCGAGGAGACAGACACAGAGGAAGCTGATGATTTTGAACTGCTTGACCAGTCCGAGCTTGAGCAGATTGAGAAAGAATTGGGACTTTCACAAGGCCAAGAAGCAGAATCCCAGGAAAAGAAAAAGTCTTCAGGCTTCCTTTCAAATCTGCTGGGAAGTCATTAACCTGGAAATTGCAGCTGGTAACATAGAAGAAATTAAACATAAAAACACACAAAAAAAATCAAATGCAAAAAAAAAAAGGAAAATTCTGAGCTGTAAGCTTTAACTATCCCTTTAGCTGTGTTGTAATAATTTCCCTTACGCAGAGTGAATTAACTGGATAAATATCAACTGATACTGATAGTTTAATGTTTCTGGTAGTTATACCTCAATGTAATAGCATGGAAATGAATTATCTATCCACTCTTTGGTTGCAGATGAGTGTTGGAGGTCAGTTGTTCAAAGCAATCGGGGGAGAGGGCTTTTTTATCTTTTTGCCAACCGTGTATTTTGGGGTTCCTGAGCCAAATTTTCAACACTGGCAGTTTATTCCATGTAATACAATTAATGATTCACACAGGGAGGGTAAATTATCAGAGGATTGCAGTGAGATTAACTAAATCTCACCTCCTTCGATCGTACCAGAAAGTATGAATCCCTGCAGTTAGCATTATGTGTAGTGCATCTACTATATATGAAACACATTAACCAGCACAACTCTAGTTTAAGTATGTGTGCAACACTATCAAAGAACTTGATTTCATACTTAAAACCCTTGAATTATTTTGGATATGGTGATGCATTTCCAAGTTTTTTGCTGTTTTAGGCTTGTAGAGTTGTAAAGTGGCATGCTATTTGACTGACCACCTGCTGTGTTCCTTGATGGAGTCTGGTCCTTGGCAGTGTTGCCCGTGTAAAGTCAGCCAACACATTTTTATATTCAAGAGTTAATATCATGTAAACCGAACAACCGTTTTTGGGAGCAGGTGAGGGTAGTTATTGTTTGGAATAGAGATTAGAGGTAAAAAAAAAGGCAAAAGAAAAAAAAAGAAAAATTAAAAAAAAGAAAAGGCTTTTTTAGGTACCACTTCCTTAATTCAGGATTCTGTGAGTTTTGTTTGTTTTTTTTTTTCCCCAGGACAGCTTCTATCACTTGCCACAAAAGTTATGTTGCAAGCTGAATCTTTTAAGATACTTAAAAGTATTCAGTGAGGTCATTTGCTATAGAAGACGCTCAGAATCTTCTTCTTGGCATGTAATTTAAAACAAACGAAAAATAGCTTGTTTAAATTATTTGCCAGTTTAAACTCCGCACATGCTCAGTGAGTGGCATGGGATCTTAAACAGGTAACTTATTTAACTTTTTCTAGGGCTTTTTTGTTCACCTGTGACAAAATTGAATTGTAATACCAAGCAATAGTAATCAAAGAGATAGGAAGAAGTAAACCTTGGTTTTTTAATGTGATGTAAAGCGTTAGCAAAGTTGAGGGACCATGTCAGCTGCTACTACTACTGAAGTGATTTTCCATTTGCTGGCATTTGAAGAGGTGAATTCTGTCATCTAGGACCCTCAGGAAGTACAGCAACAGATTATAAAAATCTTCCACTAACGTATATGTGTAGGTAAACCTGTGTTTGAAGTTAACTCCATTTTAATTTGTTTTTCTTTCTGAAGTGAAAAAATAGGCAGATAGCCGCAAAGAGTGTAGTGAAAGGAAAGATGCTGAGAGTTTTTGACACTAGCTTTATTGTTGCTTGTGCTTTTGTGTCAGTAATGCATATTGACCGTGTTTGCTGTCCTTTACCAGTAAAAAAGTGAGCCTGTGCCTTCATTATCAAATCCATTACGAAGTAAGTGGATGCTGGGTATAGATCCCACAAGATGCAGCTTTTGAAATTACAACATCTTAACATTAAAAGCGAGTTTCTGGAAGTGATTAAAAAAACATGGCCACATCACTTCCACAGCATTGGTTGTTAAGTTTCCTTTTTAGCTTCCCCCAGCCCGTCCTTCCCATTTGAAAAAATAAAAGAAACTTTTGCTGGGAAATCAGTCAGTTTAAAGGCCATTTAAATTTCTCAGATGAGTTAAAAGCGTCATTTCCTTGCTGCATGTTTAGGACAATCTATACGGTTAGAAGAGTACAACTTCCAAGTTGTTGATGAAACTTTGTAGGACGCCCAGACACGTGTGTGCTTCCTTGTATGGGAGCACCGGTGCCAGGAGGGAAAAACGGGCTACGGAATGGGGAGAGGCGGGAGGGAGTCATCCTTCACAGGCTTTTCTGGAGCGGATTGATGGGACAGACTAGCTGGCTGTCAATGGTGGCATTATAACAGCGTGCACTTTATTGTTGTTTTATGAAGAATACTTGTGGTTATAAAAGTATGTAATGCAGGGGCACTCTTCTAGAATAATAGATTAGCTCAAGAAGGAAAAGCAGTTGGAGGAGTTTCTTGGACTTTTTGTAAATGATCCATTTTCTGGTTTCGAGATAGAAAAATAGATTGATTTTTTTCCAGTATGAGTCTCAATTTTTCTTTCTTTTTTTTTTTTCAGAAAGAAAAACAAAGCAAAACTTGAACAAGCAAATCATTAAAGTTTAGGGGCATAATTGCTTATTTGAGTGTCTTTAGAATTTTATTTTTCTGTTCTGGTGGTAGTCAATTACATTCGAGCCCCTAAATACTGTGTAGTGGGAAGGAGGTAATTCTGTAACATATAATATACCTTCTTAGGCAGTGGGAAGATGCTTAATTTTCTGCAGAAAATTACCTCTTCCCTACCAAACAACCACACGTAAGAAACACTTTGCTCAGACGCGATACATTCCACTGCCAGCAGTTTGACAGCAGAACACAAAGAAAACATTTCTTTCCTTGGTGAGATCCCCTCCTCGCTGCCTGCAGTCGGAAATCCCTCAAGAAACCTTCATTTTGCTGTAGTCTATCAGCAGCTGCAAAACAGCAGTTACTTAAAAATTCCCATTACACAGGTCCACAGCGTCTTTCCTGCCCAGTGCTGGCCATCACCTTCCCATCATCCAAAACTGGACGTGCGGGCAGGGAGAAAGGCAAGCTAGTAGGAGGGAGCACGTAGCTTGGAAACATGCGTTTGTTCCGTGGAAAAGCCCGTTTGCCCGCAATTTTCCAGTTGAAAGGCAGTACCACCGGTGTCGAGGGTGAAAGCAGGGAGTGTGGACACGCGAGCAAGTGCCCATAGGGTGAAACGGGGTATGAACTTGCCATGGGGATGAGTCCTGCTGGCGTTACCTGGTAGTAGATCGAGGATGGGGTGTGTTTTGGCAGCAGCGTGGTTGAAGCCCTCACCTCCCCCTCGCTTTGCAGCAGCTTCTTCTCGCATCCCCGCTGGAGGAGAATGACTCTGGGTCAGGACAGGATCTGCAGGATGAGGCTCAGCCCTTTGTCCTCAGAAAATTTCCCCTTACGTTAGTACCTCGGAGTGACAGATGGAGCGGTCGACATTTGATGAGTGGCTGTAGGTCTTTCAGATCCAGCATCAAAGCTCCCGTTTCCCACACACGGGGCTTCCCCTGTCCACCTGGGACGCACCGACCCTCCTTCGGTTTGTTTGTGAAAAAAACCCGAATTGTTCTATGCAGAGGAGGGGAAATGATTTTAACCCAAAGTAATAGGATCTGAAGAAATGCTCGTTTTACTTGGTTTTTTGTTCGTTTTGCACTTTTTCCAGAGGATTTAAGCCATCTGAGCAACCTCCCTGTAGTCTCCATGTCTGTTCTCAGCACACGAGCAGCGTAACAGTCTGTAATGCACACACTGTCCGAGTAACCAGAAACTGGAAAATTACAAAATGTCTTTATTTAAAATATTTTGCAGCACTTTACCTAGCCTGATTACTATTTTGTAAACATGGAATTATTATATTGTTTGTAAAACCATTTAATAAATATGTGTTAGTTTTTATCTTTCACCATATCTAATTGTATGTTTGTTCCCAAAAGAGAAAAAAAACCCAACACAACAACAAATACACACACACACACACACTCCCCCCCCTATTTAACGGGGTTCCCGCCGCCCCCCC